CATGCATGGTGTAAAGGTTACTCCTGGCTCTGCACTTAGGAATTATGCCTGGAAATGCTTGGGGGATCATATGGGATGCCGGGAATTGAACCTGGGTTGGCCTGCCTTCCCTGCTGTACTATTGCTCCGTGCCCACAAGGCATGTTTTGAAAGGTGAGTCAAAGACTGTTTCATATAACATTTAAGACCTTTGCCTTCGACTATGAAAGGTAGGTTCCACCCCACCATGGCTGGAATGAGCTGGATCCTCCTAGCTTGGTTCAGTCTGTCCTGCGCCATCCCGCCCCTTGCAGTAGATGGTGAGGAAGCTTTCCCTTCGAACACAGCACTCTCTCTTCCACTTGCCTGGCTGTGAAAGAGGCTGGATCACAAATTTTTTAAATTTTTTTGGTGAGAAAAACTAAAGTGAGGGTCTAACATGCATACAGCATGTACTCTGATGAGCACATAGTGGCCCACACGTGGTAGAGTGCATACGGACATCAAAGCCTATGGTACTCGGGATACAGACCTCAGAGCATAGGATACTCCCAATACAGAACCCGGGGCCATGGGGTACTCCGGATACAGACCTCGGGGCATAGGCTACTAATACAGACCTCAGGGCCAAGGGGTACTTGGAATACACACCTCAGGGCCTAAGGGTATCCCAGAAAAAAAACCTCGGGGCCATGGGGTACTCTGGATACAGACCTGGGGGCATAGGGTACTCCCAATGCAGACTCCCGGGCTGTGGGGTATTCTAGATACTGACCTGGGGTCTGTACTCCCATTACAGACCTCACACCCTCGTTCTCAGCTGCTCTCATTGCTGCTTCGCTCACTGCAGAAATGTGTGGGACTGACCAAGGTCAGGCTACTAGACAGGGGTCCTCAGAGAGGAATTCTGTGTGACTAGATACAGGGAAGGGGAAAGTGAAAACCAAAAATGATCTCCTTTAATCCAAATTTGATCTAGTAGGATAATGTCATTTCATCCCACAGTCATCACTGTGAAGTCTTCTGCTTTAGGAACTTTCAGTTACTAAGGCATGTTATATTGGTCTACTGGTTGACTGTCATTAGGGCAGATGTGGTTGGTAGCAAGTCAGCTGACAGGCAGAACAGGCCGGTTGAGTAACTGATGCTTGTTCTAGCCTGGTGGCATAAGGCAGTTCTAGGCAGGGGGGTATGGAGTGAAAAATGGGAAGTGCCTGAGCTCAGGTTTCCTGTCCTATACCTGACGGTTATACTGGAGGTCACTGAAACTGATGCCACTCATCCAGCAGATGCCCAGCCCGGGGCACCTGGACAGCCTCTGGTCTCTTGTGTGAGTGTACTTCCGGGGAGCAGCTGTGCTTCACAACACGCACTCAACATTTCAGTAAGTTGCAACGGGCTTCTCATCCCCACCCCAGGGCAGGTAAAAGTTGGCAACTCCGATTTTAATCAATTTAACACTTTTCTGTTTTTCAGATTTTAAAATCTTATCTCATATAAGTGGCATGTTTTCATCTGAACTCACTGACATGTTAACATGACAAGTCTTTTATTGGTGGAGGGAGTTTTGGGGACCATAAGTGGTGTTGGGGATCAAAGCAGTCAACTGCACGCAAGGCAAGTAACTCACCCCTTCCTCTGCTCGATACCCTACCCACGGAGCCTTTTAACTCTCCATGGGAATCAACAAAAATTCTTGCTCCATAAACTTAAATCCTTTTGGGGAGGTTGAAGCTGAGGGTACCACACCTAGTGATGCTGATTACTCCCTGCTCTGTGCTCAGGGGTTACTCTTGGTGGTGCTTTCAGGTAGGAAATAAATTATTAGGTGGGGGAGGATAGTAGATAAGAAATATCATCATTGGGTTTTTCACTCCAGATGGCACACATAAAGAGAATTAAGTCCAACGAATATGAAACATTCACTCAAGCAGGAGCCAACAGTGGGGAAATTATTTCCAAGCCTGAGAAAAGGCAGCTGGAGGTAGTCCAGCAGGCAGGGTGCTTAGCCTGCATGCAGATGCTGGTCCCCGGCATCCCATTCGGTTCCTGGAGCACAGCCATTCCTGAGCACCACTGGGTGTGGCCCAACAGCCAAAATTAAAAAAAAAAAATACTAACAGTCTACAGTGAGAATCAGGATTAAAATTAAGCGAGTAACTGGTTTAAAGGAGGAGTTTCATGGTTTGAGAGCTGGTTTATTTTAAACTACCAGAGACTCTTGCCAAATCTGAAACATTTCCTTCCACAAGTTTCTCGTTCTATCTACTTTGGACGCTTTTCTATCTGCTCATCCCTACCAGCCTACAGCCCTGAGGTGGAAAGTGATGAAGATTAGCTCGGTACACACAGTTCCACAGAAAAGCAGTAGGATGATTCAAGTATCCAATTGGCCCTACAAGGAATGGGGGGGAGGGTGTGGGGGGGGAACCAAACTTTTTTTTTTTTAAATAATCTCTGGAATTCCAACTACGATAAAGGAGACAAAAACATAGCACGTTTGAGTGAAATGTTTACATTTATATTGAAATATGCACTAAGACAGAATGAGTCCTACGAGTCAATGAAACTTTGCCAAAGCAGAATCACAAACGTCCTCTGGGGAGGTCCAGTCAACTAGCAGCAGCGGTCCCCACGCAGAGCCTGAGAGAAGCCACCCCGCAATCCCTCCTTCCAGAAACCCCGCTCGCGTCTCCCACGTGCACCCACACGGATTCAGGAGCCTGGTCCTGCTCCTCATCACATACACTTTGAGTCTCTTCTTCACTGCAATAAATATAAAATTTGCAATGTTCACACACCACAGCACAGACAATATCTCAGGCTTTAGCATACAACTGTAAACAGTGACTAGGTTCAAGAAAAATAAAAAAGTTGGAATTTGCTTTTAACAGAGAGAATTTAAGAGCAGGGCATGAGCTATGTAAGATTTGTTGCTTTTTTTTTGGGGAGGGGGAGTGTGGGGGTGGGGGTGCGGTGGAGTGAAGTTTAAGGTTCTTGACAGTCGAGTCAGGTGCAGCGTTGGCCCTCAACAGTCCAAATGTGCTTTGGGCGGTGGCCAGAGTACTCCTGAGCACCGAAGTCTAGACTACGCAGCCACCACATCCCTAGGACACTTGACAGTTCAGCTTCAAGCTTCTGCTGACCCGAGGACACCTCAGCTTGGCAGCATGGCTGCCATCTGCTGTGGAAAACATGGGTGGGCAGAAGAATCCGTTCCTGCTGGAAGAGAAACTGTAACTCCCTCTGCTAGCTGCCGGCAAGGCTGGCCCTGCATCGCAACGGATGGGGACGTTTCACGGGGACGATGCATCACATGTATAGCGACCTTGCTATGCGGAGGGACAGAAATCCAAAGAGGGATGAGAAGAGGAAGTTTCGGTGACGGCCATCAAGAAAGAGAGTCACGGGTTATTTTTTTGCCTCAAGCAGAGCAAACAGAACGAAACAGAAAAAAGCTGGAAAGAAATGCAAGCGGACTCAGTATCTGCACATCAGCAACAGGGCAGACTTTATTGAAGAGGCTAGGGGTCCAAAGGCTACCAGTGGGGTAACTCTATCCGTGACGCCGAAGTTTCTGCACGTAAGCACAGGAGCCGGAGGATGGCTAGTGAGGGGTCATTTAACGCTCAGCCAAAGGACGTGTAAAGCGCATGCTGCAGGAGTGGCCTTAGGGGCTGATTCAGACCAAATTCCCACCCGCCGACAAACGAAACACCCGGGCAGGAAACTGTCTTTTCACACACACAATTCTGGCTTCATTAATTCTCCTCCCTAGAACTATGCCTCAGCTAAGGAGTGGAGGGGAAAAAAAATCGGTCTTGAAACTCAAGAACCGGGCTACTAAAAATATAAAAGGAATTTTAATATCGTAAACAAGTTCGGTAAACACTGTATTTTCTGTTGCTAATGAAGACATGATACATTCAGAAAAGGATGTATTTAAGACAAAAAAAAAAAATCCTAGGAAGAGGCTTGAAAAGGAAAAAGAGCAGCCCCGCCTTCTACCCTTCTGAAAAGGTGGTTCCCGGCACAGACGGGAAGTCCCCTCCAGCATAATGCCACTTGCCTTCCAAGCAGAACAGGAGACGAGCGCCTTAGGAAAGAAACTGGAAACGTGTAGCAGAGCCACTGCGAAGCACATCTGGATGGGTCACTGTGATACCCACCTGGTCCAGCTCAAAATGCGTGTGTGGATCCAGTTGTACATGTTCCATGGTTTACTGAACTGTCCCATCGAAGCGGTAGCTCCTGCAGCTCAAGTAAACCGTGAGGAACGCGCACTCTTGAAAGAAATCCCCGTGAAGATACACGGAGGAGAAACCCTGAACGTTACACTGACGAGTTCTTTGTTTCACAACAGCGGTGGGGTAAATGCAGAACGACTGTTCCGAAGAGCAGCTTTTCGTGGATCCCTATGAGAGAAGGCCAAAAATTTCTGGACTGATAATTTAAAAACCAGACCAATCGAAGGGGAAAAAAAAATATGTGTGTGTGTGTATACATAGACCTATATGTATACACACACACCTTAAGATACTCTAAAGCTGGAAATAACGCCAGGGCTTGCGGAGTAGGTAGGAAATGAGAGTTCCGGGAGATTGTTCCCATGGCCCCCTTGGCTCCAAAACAGGAACTGTGACCGGGATGAGGGGCAGAACAAACAAACAAGAACTCGGTAGATGGGAGCACTGCACAGACTCGAGAGCACAGAACACCAAGCAACAATGAGCTATACATCAATCAGCACAGGCTTGGAGGGCAACCGGCCGGGGACTCAGACTTCCAGAGCGCCCAGGTGAAAGATGCATTAAAAAATCTGCGATGGCAACGAAGAGCAGCCCCCCAAAAGGGAAGGAGGACAGCGCGGAAGGGCTGCGCGCGCAGGTCTATCACAGGCGCGAGAGTCAGCAGCACGGACACAGGGCCCTCCGGGGTCCCCCGCGTGGGAACGAGACCCCCTACCACCAAGACGGAGCGGGAAAGACCGAGAGCAGAACCAACGTCACTCCAGCATCTCCACATCCAAGCAGATGCTGTCAACACACACAGATAAAGCGAAATAAAAACAAAAGGCTAAATCGTGAACCTTAAAACTGGAAAGAAATGCTGGGTTTAAAGCCAAGTAGGTGTGATTCTGACGATCATACATGACATAATCCACAGAAAGAAGGGCCCAGAGAAGGATCTTCGTTCTGCTCAGCTCAGGCTGGATGCTGTCCCAGTGGGAACCGAACGTGTCACACACATCACTCGAGAGTCCCCTTCCGGTTTCAACTGAATTCAAACAATCTTCCTTGGCAACTTTTCCTCCCGTGTCAGACCAGACCAACCTTCTATGTACAAGCCTAGATCCCTCCTCCCCTCCCAACACTAAACATGGGAACATCCGGAACATTCTACAATGCAAAGTGCCTTAAGAAAGAGAAGGATTCTGTAGTGCCAGTGACAGAACTGATCAGAGGAAGCTAGAACTCTGCCGGGGCCGGTCAGGCGATGATGGTTTGTTTCTCTTCGGGAGTTTCCTCCAACAGCTGCATGATCAGTTCATGGAGTGGTTTGCAGATCTTGGCGTAGCCCCCGCCTGTGAGATGCAGGAAATCGAACATGTCGTGGCAGGAGATGGCACCGTCCGAGTGCACGAAGCCCCCGTCGGTATCCAGGAGCTGGACGTTGGCAAGCTTCGGCAGAGAAACCTTGAGGAGCTGGTTCACCCTGGCATTCTTTTGCCTCAAAGGGTTGGGCTTCTCCCCTCGAGGTAGCAAACCCTGGGGTGGAGCAGAGAAGAGGTAAGAAGAGGGACAACAACAACAACAAAACCCACCAAACCACAAAAAAACACCACCTGGTTTTGCAGTGATTTTTTATTTATGATCTCAAGGCGTTTCTGAGACGCTTGCTACATCTTGTGCTTGTCACACCTTTCGAATGTGGAGCCCCACTTAGGGTGGTTTTAGTGACGATTCCCTGAGAATGCCTTCCCAGTATCTCCTTGCTGTCCCTGAACTGCTCGGCTCTGTCTTCCCACTCTCAACTAAGGCTCTGGCATCGTCCCTGATTTGTCTGAACTGTACGCTGAACGCCCAGTAAGAACCAGTTCCGGGGGTCCCCAATGTGTGTTCTTCCCCCAAACTAGGCGCCTTCTGATTGTTCCAACGCTCCAGTCTCTCGTCCCACGTATCATGTCTACCTTTCAATCACTTGGCTTTTGCATCATTAGTACTTTCCCAGATCTTTCTTTTCAATTTTTTGGCTTTTGGGGTGACAATGTTCAGGGGGTACTCCTGGCGGGGCACGGGGGATCCATACAGGATGCTGGGGATCGAACCCGGATCAGCCGCATGCAAGGTAAAGGCCCTCCCTGCTGGACTATCGCTCCGGCCCCTCCCTATCATTCTGCATTGTGAATTCAGACAGTGACACGGTTAGCGAACTTATCACCAGTCAGCTCAATGAATGCAAACTGCAGGACTTCCCACCCCAAGGGCTGCTCTTCCCTTCAAGTCCTCCTCTACGCCAGACACCCATCTACTTTTGAATCTGCACAAGGACAATCTGTTCTGCTATACACACACGAGAGAGTGGGGACAAATGCTGTTTTAATGAACCAGAGCCACATCAAATCTGGTGCAAAACACAGATGGATTCTAATTTTGTTCTTCACTTTCTCCATGTGGTAATTCTCAGAAAAACCAGAGGCCCGGCCCTCTAGTAAACAAAGCCTACTCCATGCCGGCAATCACCTCGCATCATTTCAACCGACCCGACAAATAGTCCCGTAACTGTGACTCGTGATGCCATCCAAGTTAGCTGCACCGGCAAAACCCTTTCAACCCTTTCCCCCATTCTTGCTCGGACAGGGCCTTATTTCCTAGTAAGATTTTCTATGGATATCTGAACAAAAAATTGGGCCAGAGAGATAGGATAGGGGATCGGGCTCTGGCCTCCCACCAGAGAGGTGGACTCTGGTTCGGTCCAGCACTGCAAATGGTACCCTGAGCACAGAGCCGGGAGTGATTCCAGAGCATTTCCTCAGTGTGACCCAAAGTCGGCTCCCCGCAAACACACTGAAAAATGAGGACCTTTTCAGATTTACGTTGAACTTTTCCAGCAATTGGCCTTGGCCAATTTGCTGCGACTGTACAGTTCCAAGAAAGAACCAGAGATCTGTCACACTGTTGGTTGGACCAACTCTAGCTATTCTAGTATGTCAGGTGCGTCCAGCACTTCACAAATGAGCTCAATCTCAAACCCTAGCTCATATGTCTTAAAAAAAAGAAAAAGAAAAAAACAGTATGGGTACAGGGGATGGAGCGACAGTACAGCAGGCAGGGCATCTGCTTTGCACACGGCCGACCCAGCTTCAATCCCCGGCATCCCATATGGTTCCCGAGCACTGCCAGGACTAACCTGGGTTCAATCCCAGGTTTGCATCCCCAAACAGTCCCTCATGTCCTGCCAGTAGTGATTCCTGAGCACAGAACCAGGAATAAGCCCCAAGCACAGTTAGGTGTGGTCCAAAAGTCAAAAGCGTGGAGTTCATGCCTAATTCAATCAGCCTAATTAGTGGCTGAATAAATAGCAGTACTCCTACATAAAAAAAAATGTCAAAAGCAAAAACAGGGTTTAGTTGAAACAAATTGTTTATAAAGAATTTATATAGCAACTTCATGCAATAATCAACTATAAAGTACCAGATACCATAGTTCAAAGGGAGACTATTACCAATAAGGGAGACTATTACCAATACAACCCTTTGTGGAGCTAGGGATTAAGGTCAAGGCCTCACATATGAATTCCAAGTATATTACCACTCAGCCACACTCCTAATGCTTTATAATCCTTTCTGGAGTAAGGCAGGATGCAAAGAAATACATAAATAGGATGTAATTAAAAAGGTTAAGTCTTGGCATCTAAGAATCAAATCCAAACACAAGGTCTGGAGAGTGGGCTACAGGGGCTAAGGCCTTGCTTTATTTTATTTATTTTTTTTTCTTTTTGGGTCACACCCAGCAATGCACAGGGGTTACTCTGGCTCTGCGCTCAGGAATTACCCCTGGCAGTGCTCAGGGAACCATATGGGATGCTGGGAATCGAACCCGGGTTGGCCTCGTGCAAGGAAAACACTCTACCTGCTATGTGATTGCTCCAGTTCACTAAGGCCTTGCTTTATATCCATGGCACTAGCAGTGAGTCCTGAGCACTGTTGGGAGTGGCCCCCAAACACACAAACAAAACCAACACTGACACACACTTGTTCCTTCTGTCTATGCAGGATGTTGACAATGCGTGAACACAGCGACCCTTTACTACTCACTAAATAAATGGTCCTCCTGTGCAAATGCTGGGGTCCCACTGAGAGTCTCACACATGCGAAGCATGAAGCATGCGCTTTACCATTGAGCTACATACTTTACCCCAAAGAACTGAATCCTTATCAGATTTCACAATCTGCAGTTGACAAAAACTATCTACAGGGTCAACTTTTTTTTTTTTTTTTTTTTTTTTGCTTTTTGGGTCACACCCGGCGATGCACAGGGGTCACTCCTGGCTCTGCACTCAGGAATTATCCCTGGCGGTGCTCAGGGGAACCATCGGGGATGCTGGCAGTTGAACCCGGGTTGGCCCGAGTGCAAGGCAAACCAAACGCCCTACCCGCTGTGCTATTGTTCCAGCCCATAGGGTCAACTTTTAAACTCAAATGAAACACTCAGTGACTAGAGATAATGCAGTAAGTACAGTGCTTTGCCTTGCATGCAGCCAGCCTGGGTTCCATCCCGGCAACCCCAGCATGCCTGAGATCCACCAGAAGTGATCCCTGAATACAGAGCCAGAAGTAAGCCTGGATACCACTGAGTGTGACTCCCCTCCCGCCAAGGAACAAACTAACAAAAAACCATCTGAGACCAGAAAGACTTCGTGCTTTTTTTTTTTTTGGCTTTTTGGGTCACACCCAGATATGCACAGGGGTTACTCCTGGCTCATGGACTCAGGCATTACTCCTGGCGGTGCTCGGGGGATCATATGGGATGCTGGGAATCGAACCCGGGTCAGCTGCGTGCAAGGCAAACGCCCTACCCGCTGTGCTATCGCTCCAGCCCCCAAGACTTCATGCTTTTAACTCTATAAAAAGTTACTTTCTTGCTGTAACAAGAGAACAGTGGGTAGGACATTTGCCTTGTGCACGGCAGTGACATGGGTTCAATTTCCAGCATCCTTTATGGTTCCCCGAGAACCGCCAGGAGTAATTCCTGAGTGAAGAGCCAGGAGCAACCCCTGAGCATCTGTACATCGCCAGGTATGACCCAAAATGCCAAAAACAAACAAACAAAAAAAAAAAACCCTTTCTGGGGTTGGAGACATAATACAGTGGGTAAAGCTCCTGCTCTGCATGCGGCCAATCTGGGTTCGATCCCTGGCATCCCATATGCTCCCTGAACACCTTCACGAATGACTCCTGAGTGCAAAGCCAGGAGTAACCTCAAGCATCACCAGATGTGGCCCCAAACCAAAACAAACAAAAAGAGTACTTTCCCTCCAGACTGAGGTTAACAAAGAAAGCAACTCATCTGCTGGTGGAAAGGATATCTGAGGTCTCAGGCAGTCTAAATGGATCACTGTAACATCAGTAACAGCGCAACAGAACAACATATCCAAGCCAGCTCCAAACCCAAGTCTAATAAAACGAGACTCAGGACTAGGATATGGCCTGAGGAAAAGCCTAAAATTAATAGTAGGGCCGGAGAGACAGAGCTGCTGCTAGGGTACTTGCCTTGCATGCAGCTGACCTGGCCCCCCTGTATCCCCTATGGTCCCTCAAGCACTGTCGGGGATAATTCCTGAGTGCAGAGCCAGGATTATGCCCAGAACATCACTGGGTGTGTCCCAACAAACCAAAAGTAAATAAACAGGAATAAGAATAGCAAGGCTACCTAAGTCTAGAAAGAGGACTTCCCCTTCTAAACGTGGATGACCAGATGAAAGAGGACCCCACAGCTAGCGTGGGAAATGCTGAGACCGCTCAGACAACGGGATATGGGATGTATCAGCCAAGAGCTTCCAAGAATCATGTTTCCACCCAAAGGCTGTCTTTCAGTAACTTCGTTTTTGGAGAATCCTCACCTGACCTTCTGACAGGGGGTGTCATGTCCACCCCCTCAAGACTACCTACCAACACGATGATTTTGGCCTGTGGTTGCCTTGTGTTGATGAGCTGCACAATGGCCTCGATCCCACCGGCTACTTCCTCCGCAGTGTTTTCATGGTTGTTTGTGCCTACCCAGACGACAATGACCTACGATCAAGCGGGAAAGAGATGAAGACCCAGCTAATAACAGGGTGTCCAACATTTACATGGAAATCCCACTTTAAAAAAAATCAAGAATAGGGGTTTGAGCTATGACAGTACAGCAGGTAGGGCGTTTGCCTTGCACGCAGCCGACCCGGGTTTGATTCCCAGTAGGCATCCCATATGATCCCCCAAGTACCACGAGTAATTCCTCAGGAGTAATCCCTGTGCATCGCCGGGTGTGATCCCAAAATGCAAAAATAAGTAAATAAAATTTAAAAACGAAAGAAAATGAAAAATCAAGGATGAACACCTCAAACTGCATGACCAAACTTCAACTGGGCAGTTATCTTAAAATCCGGATTTGTGCCTCATACTTATCAGGCCAATTATTATAATAAAGAGATTAACACTTCAGTAGGAAAATTCAACTTGGGAAAACTAAAGAATCCTTTCATTGTGGTGGACCTACAAGCAAATCCCTTGAACACAGAAATTAAACAGAAGTGATAATAAAAGGGCAAGAGACATGGCTTATAGGATGGAGCTTCATATGCAGGAGGGCCACGTTTGATCCCCAGTACTGAATGGCCCCCTGAACACCATCAGGGACAAATCCCAGGCACGAGTCAGAAGAAGTCATGGAGCACTGTCCCAAGAGGCAACTCCCCCACACCTCTAAAAGAAAAAAAAAAGGTAATGAGACAAGCTAGAAAAATACTATATAAAAAAAAAAAACACTACAAAAAAAAAGCCTGGGGGCTAGAGAGACAGCACAGCGGGTAGGGCGTTTGCCTTGCACGCGGCCGGCCCAGGTTCGATTCCCAGCATCCCATATGGTCCCCTGAGCACTGCCAGGAGTAATTTCTGAGCACAGAGCCAGGAGTAACCCCTGTGCATCGCCAGGTGTGACCCAAAAGCAAAAAAAAAACAAAGCCTCAACATGTCAAGAGTTGTCAGAGAGATAATACAGGGTTAAGGTGCTTCCCTTCCCTGTCTCAGTCCTGGGCAGAGTCCTCGGGGTACCAGAGTCCTCAGAGCTCTGGCAGGACAGACTCCTGAGCACGGAGTCAGGAGCAGCCCTTAAGCACTATTAAGGTATGGCTCAAAACCAAACTATTTTTTTCCTTTTTGGGTCACACCCGCGATGCACAGGGGGTTACTCCTGGCTCATGCACTCAGGAGTTACTCCTGGCGGTGCTCAGGTGACCATATGGGATGCTAGGAATCGAACCAGGGTCGGCTGCTTGCAAGGCAAACGCCCTACCCACTGTGCTATCTCTCCAGCCCCTCAAAAACCAAACTTTGTAAGTGAAATCTAAGAGGACCAGGAGAAAATATTTGCTCTATGAATTGGGCTATCTCCCGAGCCCAAATTTTCACTGAGATTAAAAAAAAATTAAAAAACTCAGTGCGACACGGTACTGGGGGCACGTGTGTATGTAGATGCATGTGCCCAGATGCTCCGGATTTCATGCAGACAGACTTGGACGGCTTGACAACTCATTTGCTAAGGGGTTAAACAAACAGAAAAGTCCTTCCTGCGGGGAATGCGGCACCGCTGGGCAGTTTCCTGCCCTCACAGACTCACGGCCACAGTACACTAGACCCCATCAGTGGAATGTTCCCTGCAAAGACGAGTCTCACAGCTGCACTGCCACCCCGACACGCAGCACACTGATGGCTTGATCAAACCTATCTATTTGCAATGTCTGTAAGCAGCAACAGTACTGTTTATTTTCAAAAAGGCAGGAAGCAAAAGAGTGAGAGTGAGAAAGAGCTTTAAAGATGCACTTTTTTTCTTTGATTATAAAAATTTTTTACATTTATTTTTGGCTTTTTGGGTCACACCCGGTGATGCACAGGGGTTATTCCTGGCTCTGCACACAGGAATTACCCCTGGTGGTGCTTGGGGGACCATATGGGATGCTGGGGATAGAACCCGGGTTGGCCGCGTGTGAGACAAATGCCCTCCCCGCTGTGGCTCTACTTTGATTTTAAATTAGAGACAATTTCCCTCTCAAAAAAGTCTCAAGATTAATGATATTCTTTAAGAATTAAGTTCAGGGCCAGAAAACAAAGTTCAGGCCCTGGAATACCAAACAGAGGTTAAGGTGACTTGTGCGTGACCAACCCTGGCTGGATCACTGGCACATATGGTCCTGAGCACCAACAGGCGTGACCTCAGACCACTGAGCACAGAGGGAAAAGTAAGCCCTGAGCACCACCAGATGTGGCCCTAAAACAAAACAAAAAAAAATACAAAATTTAATTCCACCTTCGGTTTAATATTCTCCAGTTCGCCGTTCTTTAGTCTCCATAAAACATGTCTTGTTGTGTCTCCCCCAATTCCAAAATTCAGTGCATGAAGTGGGGAAAACAGCTCCCGCCATATCTAGAAAGAGGAAATTTCATTAAAGCCAAAATTAGTGGGAAATAAAATCCGTCAATTGTAATGGGTTGGTGAGGAACTTGAAATAAACCGTTATCTCCATTCAAACACAACAAAGCAAAGAGTGAGATACTTCCTATCTAAAAGGACATGAAAATGACACTGGTCACCTCTATTTTTTTTTAACTGAATCACTGTGAGATACAGTTACAAAGCTTTCATGATTGAATTTCAGTCACACAATCATCGAACACCCATCCCTCCACCAGTGCACATTTCCCACCACCATAAAGCAGCATCAGATCTCTGCTCAAAAAAAAAACAAGTCAATCAACCTAACGACCTTAACGAAGCATCAACATTTAGAGTGAAGTTGTCAACTCAATAAATTCTCCCTTTATTCAACTATTTAAAAAAATAAAGAGGGGGCCGAAGTGATGATGCAGTGGGTAGGGCGCTTGACTTGCGTGTGGTCAATCCAAGTCCAATCCTCGGCACCCCCAAGCACTGCCAAAAGTGATTCTTGAGCCCACATCCAAAAGAACAAAAGCAACCGGTATTGGTGCGGATGTGGGGAGAAAGGGACCCTCCTTCACTGCTGGTGGGAATGCCGACTGGTTTAGCCCTTTTGGAAAACAGTATGGACTATTCTCAAAAAAATTAGAAATTGAGCTCCCATTTGACCCAGCAATACCACTCCTAGGAATATATCCCAGAGAGGCAAAAAAGTATAGTCGAAGTGACATCTGTACTTGTTTGTTCATTGCAGCACTATTTACAATAGCCACTGTCATCCCATTGTTCATCGATCTACTCGAGCGGACACCAGTAACGTCTCCATTTGTCCCAGTCCCGAGATTTTATCAGCCTCTCCTTAGTCGTCTTTCCCAACGCTGCCGTATTGGAGGCTCTTTCAGGGTGAGGGGAAAGAGACCCATCATTACAAAATTACATGTCAGCAGAGCCTGGCAAGCTACCTGTGGCATACTCGATATGCCAAAAACAGTACAATAGCCAGAATCTGGAAAAAACCTGAGTGCCCGAGAAGAGATGACTGGTTAAAGAAACTTTGGGACATCTACAGAATGGAGTACTATGTAGCTGTTAGAAAAGATGAAATCGTGAAATTTACATACAAGTGGTACTCCATGGAAAGTATCATACTAAGCGAAATGAGTCAGAAAGAGAGGGACAGACACAGAAAGATTGCATTCATCTGGGGAACATAAAGTAACAAAATAGGAGACTAACACCCAAGAATAGCCGAGATTAAGTACCAGGAGGTTCACTCCATGGCTTGGAGGCCAGCCACACATGCTAGGGGAAAAGGCAGCTCAGATAGAGAAGGGAGCACCAAGTAAAGGGTGTTGGGAGGATCCTCCCAGGATGGGAGAAGCAAGCTGAAAGTAGACTATAGACCAAACATGATTGCCACTCAATGCCTCTTTTGTAAACCACAGCACCCAAAAGGAGAGAGAGAACAAAGGGGAATGCCCTGTCACAGAGGCAGGGTGGGATTGGGGGATGGGGGGTGGGAGGGATACTGGGATCAGTGGTGGTGGGAAATGGGCACTGGTGGAGGGATGGGTATTTGATCATTGTATAACTGAAACCCAAGCACAAAAATTTGTAAGTCTACAACTGTACTCCATGGTGTTTCACTAATAAAAATTTTTAAAAAAAAAGTGATTCTTGAGTGCAGAGCTGGGAGTGATCCCAGGGCATTCCTGGGTGCTCCCCTCCCCCAACCCCACAAAAGGAAAAACTGCACCGTGGACCTGCCACAGTTACCTCATACCGCCCCATCAGCTGTACCACAGAGCCCCCCACCTACCTCATACTGCTGCATGAGCTGTACCATGGAGTCCCCCACAAACAAGACGTCAGGCTCTTTGTCTTTACAGTCCAGGACAAATCTGTTGTGCTGATTTGGGGGGAATAAAAAAGAACAATTAAAACTTAACAGTTCTCTCCCTATAAGATTTGTTTGTTTAGGGGCTACATCCGGCAGTTCGCAAGGGAACACGTGAGGTACACGTAGGCCAACACGTAGGTTGGCCAGAGCAAGGCAAGTGCCCTACCCGCTGTGCTCTCTCTGGCCACGCCTGACCCCTGTGAGATCTCTATGGCCTAACCAGTTAAGCAGTGTGTGGTTAAACATTCTACCTGTTCTGGTTCTAAGTTTTGTCCTCTTTTCTGGGGGGGAAGGGGGGCAGGGAGGACATAAGGGGTGTTATAGTGCTTTGAGGCTGCTCCCGGCTCTGTGCTCGTGGGAGCACGGGGTACTGAGATCAAAGCTGCCCCTCACATGCACTCAGCTCCTGGAGCCATCTCTGCGGCCAAGTCCTCACGTCTACAGTCAATCACACCTGCAACCTTGCTAGAACTTTCTTTCCACCCATAACATATTGATTAGTCGGGCATGTTCAAGAAAATTGGGAGTCTACTGAACCAGAACAGAAAAATACACTTCCACGGTTGTTTCGGGGGAGTTTCAGGAGTCATTTGGCTGGGCTGCAGAATCACGGCCAAACTAGAGGCTCTTAGGTGCACAGCTCACATTCCGCCCACCGGGTTATGTCTCTGGTCTTGAAGTTTATCTTTCCCTCTTTCCTGTTTTGGTTTGGAGCCATGCCCGGAGGGACTCAGGGGACCAAGTGTTCCTGGGGATCACACCTGGGCCTCCGCATGTGAAACGCTGCTGATCTAGGCTCTTCCTTTATTTGGGAGGGCCACACCCAGCAGTGCTGAGGGCTTATTACCCTGCTCTGTGGGTAGGTATGTACTGCCAGATTAGAGCCAGAGTCCAACAAGCAAGGCACACACCTTAATCCCTGGACTGTCTGGTTTTTGGTTTTTGTGCCACAGATGGTGGTGCTCAGGGATCACTCCTGGCATGCTCTAAGGACCACATGGGGTGCCGGGGATCAAACCCGGGTTGGTGGTGTGCAACGCAAGCGCCCTGCTCCCAGTACTATCGCTCTGGCACCAGACTCTGAAGAGTTTATCGTTTATTCTTACATACTTATTCTGTGCAAAGAAGATGTTTAAAAAAATTTTCCTTTGGGTCCAGAGTGATAGGACAGTGGGTAGGGCGTTTGCCTTGCACGCGGCTGACCCGGGTTCGATTCCCAGCATCCCATATGGTCCCCTGAGCACTGCCAGGGGTAATTCCTAAATGCAGAGCCAGGAATAACCCCTGTGCATTGCTGGGTGTGACCCTCCCCCCCCCAAAAAATAAAAACTCTTTTGGAGGAGCTGGGATGGAAACTGCATGCACGGTGTGTTGGAGGCACCAACTTTCTGCACTGCAGCTTCCTAAGTAGCACCAGGAGTGACACCCCCACTCCCCCACTCCTACCTCCACGAGCACCAGCCTCAAAGAAGCTCCTGGGCACAGCTGTATGTGATGTGAAACCCACGAAGAGTCACTACTACTGGGGCCGAGGGGGCAGCTCAGCGCCTAAAAAGGGCCTTCCTTGCAAGCATGTGGTCACGAGTTCCATACTCGGTGCCATCCACACACACCAAGGCTGGTCCGGGCAGCTCTGGGGCTGGGACAGTCAGGTATGAAATGTGAGACACTGTCAACTAATGATGTGAAAGGACTGTGCCAGCAAGAAAACGCACAAACACCAGAACCACGTGTGTGAGTACCACATCACAGCATATACGACCTCAGAGCACTGTGCCACGAGCAGCCAGAGCACACAGCTCCACTCCATTTCTATAGAGGGATGGAAACTAGAAGAAATAAAAAGGAGAGAGTGGGGCTGGAGTGATAGCACAGCGGGTAGGGCGTTTGCCTTGCATGCGGCCCAACCCGGGGTTCAATTCCCAGCATCCCATATGGTCCCCTGAGCACCGCCAGGAGTAACTCCTGAGTGCAGAGCCAGGAGTAACCCCTGAGCATCGCTGGGTGTGACCCAAAAAGCAAAATAAATAAATAAAATAAAATAAAAAGGAGAAAGAAAAACTGATTATATGGGGGGGCTGGAGAAGGTGTTTGCCTAGCACATCGTCTACCTGGGTCCAATCCCAGGCACCTCACAGGGACCCCCTGAACCGGCGAGGAGTGATCCCTAGGCAGAGCCATAAAGTGTGTCCCACCCCTACTCCCAGGAGAGTAAAAGATCAGACTCAGGCCAGAGGCTGGAGGCGGCTCTTTCTCGCCTCAATTCAGGACAGGCCACTTCACCCTATGAGCCCTGGGTCCACCAAGCCCACTCTCCGAGGGTGCCTGCTGACCAGCACCACACACGGTCCCATGGGCCAGAAGTGGTCCCTCAGCACACGGGGGGGGGATCCCCCGTTCATGTTAAATAACCACAGAGAACAGTTGGGGGATTGTGAGCGGGTGGGGAGAAGGGGCAGAGTTCAGGGCTTACTCCTGGCTTTGCACTCAGGGACCAAGCCGGGTGGGGTTAGCGACCATATGGGTGCCGGGGATCAAACCTGGGATGGCTGTGTGCCAAGCAAGCGCCTTACCCACTGTGCTCTCTCTCCAGCACTAGAAAATTTCCTTAGAAAGCATGATGGGAGGCCGGAACGATAGTACAGTGGGTAGGGTGTTTGCCTTGCATGCGGCCAACCCAGGTTCAACCCCTGGACCCCATCTGGTCCCCCATGCGCCACCAGGAGTGATTCCTGAGAGCAGAGTCAGGAGTAAACCCTTAGCATTGCTGGGTGTGACCCAAAAGAAAAAAAAAGAAAAAAGAAAGCACGATGGGTGACAAATATGACTGCCAACTACTATTAAATAGAAACAGTGCATATGAAAGGTCCACTGGCATGCGGATAAACAGGCGAGCCGACAGAGTGGGCAGAAGTGACCACTGTTCCTGAAGACAAGGCAAGTAGAAGGGTAGAATTCGCAACACCTTTTTAACATGCAATTTTGAAATTACTTCGAAATTTAGAAAACCTGAAAGAAAAACTGTGGGCTGCCCAGACCATAGATCCAGAACTGTCTGGACTTTGTGGCCGTACCTCCTGAAGCGACAAAAAGCTCAAAAATAAATTCTTAGTCCAGCACTTAGCAACCCTGCGACCAGGTACAACAATGTTGACATAATTTTTTAGCTCTAACCCGCAAAAAAAAAAAAGTTTTAGATCTATTGATCTTAATGTTGCACCTTGTTACCTAATTAATCTGAATCCTCAATAAAAAGCTAATTGGTGGGGCTGGAGCGATAGCGCAGTGGGTAGGGCGTTTGCCTTGCACACGGCTGACCCGGATTCAATTCCCAGCATCCCACATGGTCCCCTGAGCACCACCAGGGGTAATTCCTGAGCACAGAGCCAGGAGTGACCCCCCTCCCCACAAAAAAAGCGCTAATTGGTAATGAGGAAAAAAAAAAAAGGGAAGAAACACCGTGGGCCCAGGCTCAGAGGTAAAGCACTGTCTTGGTTGGGTGAAGCTGCAGATTTGATCACACACCACGCTAAAAACAACACAAAGACCTGTAGGGCCTTATGATCTAAGAATGATAAAGGCAACATCCAGGCTTTCTAGGCATTCCTTAGTTCCAACACTGGACTGGTTAGAGTGTGACTTTTTTTTTTCTTTTTGGGTCACACCCAGAGATGTTCAGGGGTTATTCCTGGCTCTGCACTCAGGAATCACTCCTGGCGGTGCTTGGGTGACTATAGAGGATGCCAGGGATTGAACCCTGGTCGGCCGCACGCAAGGCAAATGCCCTACCTGCTGTGTTATTGCTCTGGCCCTGGTTGTAACATTTTTAAGTTTGATTTTTATTTGTTGTAACAAATTCCAGCTGACCATTAACATCCTTCCCCTGCCTCTTCAGGCAAACCCTGAAGTGACTCCTCTTAGTGAATAAACACGTGTACTTCCTACCTGAGACATCCACCTGTCATCTCCTTGAATATCTTCGGCCGCATGTGGAATAGCTGCTGGGTTGGAGTCTCCTTGGCTCATTCTACACCTGAGGGGGGAAATGTATGTTCTGGTTCATTCATTATTCATCACCATTTACTTAAGTATTATAGCAGGTCAGGTTTTAAATAACAATTTTTTTTTTTTTTTGCTTTTTGGGTGACACCCAGCGATGCTCTGGGGTTATTCCTGGTTCTACACTCAGGAATTACTCCTGGAGGTGCTCGCGGGACCATATGGGATGCCGGGGACTGAACCCAGGTCAGCTGTGTGCAAGGCAAACATCCTACCCACTGTACTATTGCTCTGGCCCCACAATTTTTTTCCTTTTTTTTTTTTTTGTCACACCCAGCAATGCTCAGGGGTTACTCCTGGCTCTGCACTCAGGAATCACTCCTGGCGGTGCTCAGGGAACCATTGGGATGCTGGGAATAGAACCCAGGTCGGCCACGTGCAAGGCAAACGCCCAATCCGCTGTACTATCGCTCCAGCCCCACTAAATAACAATTTAAATAACAAGAGTCCTTCTGTCTATAAACTAAACAACTGGCTGTATTTTCAGCAGAACACCGTTCCAGGACCTGATTACTATATTCAGCTGCACTGAACTTCCGGATGCATCTGAATACTCATCTAGGAAGAGTGCACGGCATTCCCTAGGCCTGCTCCAAGGACACACTCTGCATTGATATTAATAGCACAAAGTTACATGCCATTGTCAGTACTAAATGGCACTAGGAATTAAGACACTCAGTCCAATGGCATCAACTTTAAGGCCTTTTGGTCTATTTAGAGTTACAGACTGGAGAACCGCCACAGCGGTGATTAGAATCCACCAGTTACAAAATACCAGGACAAAGGTACTATGGAATGCGGCAAAAGGAAAGAAAAAACAAAAAGGTGAGCCTGATTGGGAGCCACACCCAGAAGTGCTCAGCGATCACTCCTGGCGGCTCTGGGGACCACACGTGGTGCCAGGGATGGAATCTGGGTAGGCCATGTGCAAAGCAAATGCCCAACCTCACTGCACACTATCACTCCCGTCCCACTAAGCCCGTTTTTCCGACTGAAAAATAGGATCCACAGCCCAGGTCCATATTTTTTTGTTTTCAGGGCCACACTTGTGGCTCAGGGGTCTCTCCTGGTGATGCATTCATGTGGCTCGCCCATATTCGATCCCTGGCACTGCATATGGTTCGCAGAGCCTGCCAGGGGTGATCCCTGAGAGCAGCCAGGTATGGCCCCTCCCCATTTTTCTAAAGAAAAAATAGGGTAGGTTTTCCCCTCTTGTTTGGGGGATGAAACTCAGGCTTCCTGGATGCAAAGCATGCATTAACCACTAGGTATCTTCCTGGTCCCCTTCAGCAGGGAATATATCAGTGTTTCCCAAAGTAGGGATATCAGAACAAGGGCGGGGCAGGGCGGTGAACAGCCTGAAGTACAACTGTGAAACATTGCTTCTTTTCCTAAAAAGGTACATTTGGGGCTGGAGAGTGGCAGTAAGGTGCTTGCCTTGCACATGGTCAAGCCGGGTTCCATCCCCGGCATCCCATATTGCCCCCCAAGCTCCTCCAAGGAGTGATCCCTGAGGGCAGAGCCAGGAATAAGCTGAGTACTGCAGGGTGGGACCCAAAAAAATTAACAGGTACATTTGGTGGAATGGAAAGATGACAGCCTATTATGTCTTGTGTCTGTGTATGTTAGTGTGTAGGGGGCTCACCTTGCAGGGGGCTGACCCTGGTCCCACCCACCAGAAGTGATCCCTGAGAATAGACAGGAGTAAGCCCTGAGTGAGTGTGACCCAAAACAGTAACCAAAAAAAGGTAAGATTGGGAGTAGGGCACAGAGTGGTTTTTGGGGGTGGTGGGGTGTGGAAGGGGCAGGGAGGCCAAATCAGCCAGGGACCTCTGACCGCTACATAAACTAGACAATCTCTTTAGACCAGGGCTGCTTAAACTCCCACTCACCATCTCTTTTGGCCTGAGATACCAGAAATACCTCGGGTTCATTATGCAGCTGATTTTGAATAATTTTGGCAGTTGTGCCTTCAGAAACCTTGTTCTGTCGCCAAAATTTTTTTTTCATGACTCCCACATTCAGATACCATCTGGGGTTGTGACCTGATTTAAGAAGCTAGGCATGGGGGTTAGAGCGATAGTACAGTGGGTAGGGCATTTGCCTTGCATGCTGCCAACCGGATTCAATCCCTGGCATCCCATATGGTCCCCACCGTCAGGAATAATTCTTAAGTGCAGAGCCAGGAGTACCCTCTGAGTATTGCCACTGTGGCCCAAAAAGGCCCCCCAGCCTCCCGCAAAGCGTTAGATCTATGATTCAGTTTGGAGATGTGGATTTTCAGAGAGATTTCAACAGATGAACTACTGAAATAATCACTGCAACTGGGAATTTAAAAATCAACCAAAGAGTAACATTACTTGCCCATTAAGTATGAAGGCCCAAGCACAATCTCTGGTACTACAAAAATAAATAATTTGCCAGACAGTGTTAAGTGCTCTGCTAATCATTTAGTTTTGGTTTTAGGGCCACACCCAACATTGCTGAGGGATTACACTTGAACAAGAGTGCTCAGGTTCTACATAGAAGATAACAATATGAAACAGGACAGATTCTCATGAATTCCATTGATTTAGAAGTTCCATTAGTGCTACCCAAATTTCCTTTTTTACCCAGCAGTGATGGGGATCAAAGCCAGGTCCTTCACTGGCTTAAAGCATTCACGCCTGTCGGAGCTCTCACCCTGGACTTAACAGCGTCTGATACACTTTCATCTGCTCTTAAATTTCTTCACAAGGGGCTGGAGCCATAGCACAGCAGGTAGGGCGTTTGCCTTGCACATGGCCAACCTGGGTTCGATTCCCGCATCCCATATGGTCCCCCAAGCACCGCCAGGAGAAATTCCTTGGTGTAGAGCCAGGAGCAACCCCTGAACATCGCTGGGTGTGACCCAAAAAAGCAAAGACAAAAACATCAAGTTCTCCACGGGCAAAAGGAAAAAGTTATACAGATAAGCTTGAGAAACAGAATTTGTCCCTTTCCTGGAGACTACCAGGCAGGTAGGACTCGGAGAACTGCGGATCCCAGCTGGCTTTTTTTCCTCTAATGTGAATACAAGGTCACCCTTCACGCTCTACAAGGGCAGAGCCTCTGAACACAAAATTTGTTTCTTTGTGCACTCAAAACACTTGGATTTTTTATTAGTTGGCCAAATCAAAACCTGACAATACAAAGTAGCTTTCACAGTCAGTCTCACTGATGCCTGAGACTCGCAACACTTTTGAACAGTAAAGCAAACTGAGCCTAGAGACAAGGCGGCCATGGTGGCCTGTTCATCCTACAAAGGATGAGGGGAGGGAGGAAGGGCAGGGGAGAGTGTCATGGGCTGGAGGAGAGAGGGGAAGAGGGGGGAGGACCTCTGGGTAGAGAGAGCTGGTGGGGAGAGATAAACCCTTTCAATCTCCTCTTCCACAACCAGGCTAGGAATGTACAACCTCAGGAACTGTGCCTTTAGCGGGGTCAAATCATCTCAGAGTTAGGGAAACTATTTTTTTATTGCGGGGGCCGTGCCATGCCCCAGCATGTTCAGGGCTTGAAACTATGATATTGACAATAAAAATGGATACAGCAAATATTTTTTTTAAAATCAATAAATCAGGAGTCATCCAGGGAGCTACCCGTTGGTCAGCAATACACACTCTGGGTTTCCTTCTTTAGACAGTAATACTGGAACAGCAGTAACTGGAGTGGGAAGGGCTGGCGCTGCTCACCCATCACCAGGCTGAGGCACTGAGCACCTGCGGGCACTTGGGGCCTTGCAAGTACCACCTGGGGCGGTCCCAGGGCGCCTGGGCATTGCCTGGGCACTCCCCCACCAAGACCACCAGTAATTATGTATCAGTAACAAAAAAACTAAAAGGAAAACAAAACAAGGAGGGGGCATACTCCCATCGCCCCATTAATCACTCATTTCTCCTCACTGGGCGACTGATTTCTAACTGCAAAAAAAAAAAAAAAAACCCAAAAACCTGGATGGGAGTGATAGCACAGAGAGAAGGGGTTTGTCTTGCAGGCGCTGACCTCAGTCGGATCTCCGGCATCCCATAGGGTCGCCCCACAAGCTAGGCCAGGAGAGATTCCTGAGTGCAGAGCCAGGAGTGTAAACCCCCACCATGAGCATTGCAACAGAAAAAAAAAATGATAAAAAGACCCGCACCCTGAGCATCGCCGGGTGTGGACCCCTCCAAATAGAAAAGTAAAAAAATACCCCCCCCACAAGAATACCCTGCAGCTAGAGAAAGGAGATCAGGGCTGAGCATGTGCTTTTGCATGTGGCAGGCCCGGTTCCATCCCAAGGACCACTGGGACTGACTCCCAAGCACCCAGCTGGCTGTGCCCCCCCACTCCGGCGGACCCCCTCCCCCAACCCAAACAACAGGCTCCGGTGGAAAAACCCAACAGCTAAATAAATGACTCTGCTCCGGGGGCAGCTGTGCGGGGCGGGTGCTCGGGAAAGCCGGGGCGCGCGCCCGGGGCTGAGCATCTCCGGGTTTCCCACCCGCCTCTCCCTCCCGGGCCAGCACCAGAACCTCCAGATGCTTCGGCGAGCGAGCGGGGCGGGACCACTAAATATAAATTTATCCTCCCTCACCCTGCGCCGGCGGCCGCTTTACTCTCACCAGGAAAGAGAGGGAGGGGGAGAGCGGCAGCAGGTCGGGGAGGATCTGGAATGTTCCCAGCGGCCCTAAATAATGAAAAAAAAACAAAAAACAAAAACCACCTTTTCTCCTTTTTTTTTTTTTGCTTTTTATTTTGGGGGGGGGAGCTCTAGGCCGGCGCTGGCCTCGGCGGTGCTGCGATCCCGCTGCTCGGCGCATCCATAATTTATTATCCCAGGCCCACGCCAAGAAGAAATTAAAGCGGCGCGAGGGCTGGCTCCTCCCCTGCTCCCCCCCACCCCAAGGAGCAACCTTTATGTCAGCACAATGCACCCGGAGGAGGCTCCAGCGGCACCCGGGCATCTCCCCGGGGCGC